CCAGGCAGGATCATTGTGGATATAAAGCAGCTGGTGGAGCTTTGGTGCAGCTAGATGAATTTGAAGTTTAGGTTTTCTTTCTCCAGCATTTACAGAAGAAGGTGTTCTCAACCAGAACAATTTGCTACCTAGGAGACATTTGCCAATTAATGGAGATTTGTCTTTGTCACAATTAGGTAGTGCTATTGGCATGTAGTGAGTAGAAGCCACGGATCCCTTCTGCAGTGTACCATCTCTCTTATGATAGACCTCTCCATAATTCAGTATCAAATTTTTACTAGAAAGTTTTTGATATTTTACTAAAATATTCAATTAACATTGAACTGGGAGCTAGAACACTTGGATTCTTGTTCTAGTTCTTCTGTAAATAAAGTTCTTTCCTTATGAGAATCTTTGAGCCTTAGTTCCTCATATATTAAATAAGGATAAAAAACATGACCTATGTATCTTACATAGAGGTTGTTTGAAGTGTTCTAATATTGAAAATTGGAAGCCATCTGGCTATAAACACTGGTATGCATATACCACTGTAATATGGTCTCCTTAAATCTTTTGGGAAGATGTTTCAAAGGAAAATAGCTGGGTCAAATAGAATTTCTAGTTTTAGTTTTTTGAGGATCTCCATAAATACATACAAAATGTTCAACATTGCTGGCCTCTAGAGAAATGCAAATTAAAACAACACTGAGATTTCACCTCACTCCAGAAAGAATGGCAGTCATCAAGAAATCCAATAACAAATGCTGGTGAGGCTGGTGAAAAACACCACTCCTACATTGTTGGTGGAATGTAAACTAGTGCAGCCACTGTGGAAATGAATGTAAACTAGTTACAACCATTATGGAAATCAGTATGGAGGGTCTTTAAAAAAATAGAAATAAAAATTACATTTGAACCAACTATTCCCTTACAAGACATCTTCCCAAAAGAGTTAAACATATATTACAGTGGTAAATGCATACTAATGTTTATAGTGGCACAATTCACAATAGCTAAATCTTGGAAGCAGCCTATGTGTCTGTCCACTGATAGATGAATAGATTAAAAAATATGGCATTTATACATAATGGAATACTACTCTGCTATAAAGAAGGATAAATTTAAGTTATTTGTAGGACAATGGCTGTAGCTTGAAAACATAATGTTAAGTGAAACACATTAGACACACATGCTTAAATACTATACGGTCTTTTTCATATGAGGAATCCAAAATATAAATAAAGAGCAAAACAAAAGAGAAACAAAATAAAACAGTGAGAGAGATCTTTTGCTAAGAGAAAAGGGGCCAAGAGATGAAGGAAAGAGGGAAGCAGAGGAGGAAACATGAGAGAGAATTAAGTTGTGTCATGTATATTACCCACAATGAAAGTAGTCATTATATATCATGGACTAATAAATAAAGAGAAGACAAAGAAGAAGAAAAAGGAAGGAGAAGGAAGAGGGGCAGAAGTAAGAAAAGGAAAAGAATAAGGAGAAGGAGAAAGTGGGGGAAGACACCAGGATGCTCACACACAGAGGAAAAAACATGTGAGGAAACAGAGAGAAAGCGCCCGCAAGCTAAGGAGAGCTCAGGGCTCAGAAGAAACCAACCTTCCTAATACTTTGTTTTTGAACTTTTAGTCTTCAAAGTATGAAAAAATAAATTTCTGTTGCTGAAGCTGTCTAGTTTGCTAAATGGTCCTAGTGAACTAATACACATAGTAAAGACACTAGTAGCATATGGTTTCAAACTTTCTCATCATATAGACATAAGACTAGATGTCCTCACACCCTCTTGCCCTCATCCATAATTTTCCTCCACTGGCACTGGAAATAACACCTAGAAACTCTATACTCTGCAGTTTCAAACTTTCCAGAGACTGTCGCTGCATATCTCCCCAGCCTCTCTATGACTTCCTGAGAAGACAAGCCGAGTGAAGAGGGGTTACTGGTTATTATTATTTTTAACTTTCTGTTTAGAGAAATCCTGCTGAAATGTGTGCAAAAGAGAGATCCGGTACATAACTGTAATGCATTTCAGCCTTCAGAATGCAAAATATGCTCCTGAATCTAATTAGATATGAGGTCAAAGTAAAGAATTTCCTTTCCCAAAGTGACTGTGGGAGTTTCGTATATTTATGTGAGTGAACCAGATCAGCTGACAGGACCAGCCTACAGGCTCAAATTGTAATTTATAGTTAGGGGGAGAAGTGGCTTTAGAAATCTGAAAAGGTGGTTCTCCTGCCTGCTATCGGTTCCTGGCTCTGGTTGGCTGGCTGCTTTCAAGGCCATACAGTACATCTGCACTGATTTATACAGAAAAATTCCACAGCCTGAGTAACATAACGTGACTGCCTTCTCCCGCCACCCTTGGGGACTGGGACTAGATGAAGAAACCCACCCACCACAGTGGCCCCATGAGGAATTTGTTATATGTTGATTCAAGGTGAAGAGGAGGAGGTACTGTTTAATTTGAAATAGTTAGTTTAGGAGCAGAAGAAACAGCTGCAGGGGGAAACATTTTCTAGAAAGGTCATTGTAGACCAAATGTTGCTGGAAATGTAGCATGAAGAAGAAAAGCCTGAACAGAACAGGGGAGGCCTGAGATTAATCTCACCCTATTGCACAGGAATACCATGATTGTACAGGTCACAATGATTGCATGGCCCAACCTCTGCCTAAAAAATTCAGCCTATGGAAAATAATAGTGCCCACATTGGAGACTAAATGCTTTACAATTATTGTGATTCAGTTGCTCTTCCCAAGGAGTCCTTGAAGCTTATTGGCTTAGGTAATCTCTCACTAATCAAGCCATCAAATGAAAGTGTACATGGCCAACAGCTTGATTTCAGCCTGTGAAATCAACTAAATGTGACTCCTAACTCCAGGAAACTGTGAGAAAACATATTTTTTTCTTGTCTATGCCTCTGTTTGTATCCACAGGGACTGCTAAGTTTTTGTAATTCATTAGGCAGTAATAGAGAACTAATGCACTGGAGCATTCATTACCTGTTTTATAATAGGTAAACCATGGTACATCGAAGTAGTCTAACTTGTCTAAGATGGTAAAGTCAACAAGTGATAGAACTTGGATTTGATTCTGGTTTCTTGCTCTTCTTGTTTATATTTAACTATTGTGTTGCACTAAGCTCTTGCCACCTGCCTTCTTTTTGTTTCTTTCTCCTTGCAAATTGCCATGGTTTGATTAAATAGATATAGGACACCTCCCTCTGGGACAGTTGGTCTGAAAACACTAATTCTAGTTCCTTGGCATCTAGCCAGCTCCCCACTCTGTAGTAACTCCCTTTTTTTCATAGATGGGAAATCCTAGGCTTCATTCCCAGAGGGTTTCTTAAACACTTTTCTTTTTTAAAAAAAACCTACAGTTTTTGAATGATAGCCTTGTGGTTAAGGAAAAATGACATTTACTGGGGAAGTAACTTGTTATGGTCTTAGGTATTCTGCCAACTGCAATGAAAAGAAAGCTTTTAAATGTCATTTATACATTAAGAAAGATTTAAAGAGACACTAAAGAATACGTAGCTGGCATTGCCAAAATTTGTAATCCAAGTATATTGGGTTGAAATTTAATTTGTTCTTTTACAAGTGAATAGAATATGTTTTGCCCCAAGTCTGAACCAAACTGTTTAAGAATGACACTTCACTTAAGGGGATTCATGGAGACATGCCAGATCTACAAAGATATAAAGCATAGACCTGAAGAAGATGGAGAAATTGTCATTGCCTAAAGAATCTTTTTTGGAGGGGTAGTAAAATAATGAGACAATATTCTGCTAAGTAAGAGGACTTAACATAAATAAGTTTTCTTAAACTATCTGAAAGCCCCAACAGAAGTTTCTCTGTTTCAAATAAAATATGTCTGAAGTTCATGATTGTTCACATATCAGGAGATAGTCAGGTGAGTAGTCCCAGTTTAACCAGCAATGATGTTGAGTTAAGCTGAGTCTCTACTGTTGCTAGTTTGAACTGACCCCCGTAGAAGAAAGGCTGGAGGAAGGTTATTAACTCTTAAGGGTAACCCTGGCAGTGATAAAACTGCAATGCATTTTACCCCCTGCCATTTGTTTCACCAATGATCTTCAATGCATTATCATTATGCATTCTTATTTCATTTTTGTCATCTATTTTTTGCCTGTAAAATGCTCTTGAGAATCCCTCTCCCATTAACTTTCAAATATCCTAGACTGTTTTAACTCAGCTCATTTATAGCACTTACACTTGCCTTCTCAATGCTGACAAAATACTGATGTATCTCCAATTTCCAAGGTTGATGGGATGCACTGGCACATTACATTGAAGACTGGACTTTACAGGCAAAAATGACGACAGAGTCTCCATGTCACTATAACAAGTTGCTTTCATTATAAGTGATAAATCTGGGCTAAATCATCTAGTGCAAGATGTTTTATCAGGAGTAAGCATGCTCTGGAATGGATTTGCTTAAATGTACATTTTCAGAAATAAAATAGAAAATACAACAAAGGTGAAGTAATGTCTACTTGATTTAAAAACTCACAAAAAAATTTAAATGATGCTAAGATTTGGATACCTTTAAAATTCAAATTGTTGTTGTTATATTAGTGTGGAATAGGACCTGCTCCTTATATTATCCCTGATGCCCATAGAAAGTCTGTTGAAAGTGATATTATCTGTTCAAGAATGCTGTGATGAATTTAGGAGAAAATACACAGACCTGTACCTAAAAAAATGCCTAGCATCTGGGACTTATTCAACTGATAGTAAATAGTGATGAGAAGTTCAAACAAAAATGTCATGATTGAGTACATATAAAATGACTAAATGGGGATATAAACATGAAAAAGGCTTATAAATGTGTAAGACTGAAATTTTCTGTGCTATGGCTATATTTCTTTCTTTTGAAAAGAAAACATTGTTTAAGAGAGTTCTTGCCATCATCAAAGTCTTGAGGCAAAATCTTTTTAGATAGACATTTATAGAGAAAAAATGTTGCCTAATGCAGAACTCTGTGGCAGAATAAATTTGACCAAAGCAAATTAATCTTTAATTAGAATACTGTAGGTGACGGTCTTTTCACAGAGATCTTCCCTGGGCTTGACATACTTCAGTCAGCAGTTTATTGCGACTGACACGTGTGCTGGTAGTGCTGTCTCACTGTGCACATGCTGAGCAGAGGAAAAGACAAGGGGAAAAGTCCTCCTCCCATGAGGATTCCATCTGCAGCTTCTAACCAAGAACCTGCTTGGGGCTCTGGTATACTTAGAAGCAAATGAGCTGAAAAACAAAACAAATAGCATATTAGTTGTAAAGATATTAACCAAAACCCTCTTCTATTCCAAGAGGTGCAGCTCTTCTCTAGTTGGCAAACTGGTCACAGAAGGCTACTATTATTGCTATGTCTGAGCCACAATAAAATGAAATAATTTTAATTAATTTATTACTTTTGCTATATAGTCCAATATCCTTTCTTTATATTTTCTTCTGAAAGAAAGATTACATTTGTCACACTTTCGGAACCTGCCAAATACCGTAACTGACAATGTGTATTTCAGGTGCTTAGGTCCACTGGCCAGAACTCATTGCTATCTTCATGATTCTGGGGAAAAAGAAAACAAGTGATCAGAAATGACGGTGAATAAGCCAGACGCCTTTGTTTAAGCAATGTTAAGAAGTATGGATAAAGCAAAGAGGAAATCTTTCTTAAAGAAACTGGATCGATTCCTTGAAGACATAAAAGCTAAAATTGTTCTGGAGAAATGCGAAACGTGGTTACAGTTTGCTACCTACAGTTCAGTCACAAGCATTAGTCAGCTGGGTGAAAGTACCAGTTCAGGGCAGAAGGGGGCGCCACCACTAGCGTGAGAGGGGGAGCAGCTCTCTGTAGACCTGCCCTGAGAAAGCAAGAGGTTTGTCTTTCACAACTCTGGCCCCACAATTGCCTTTTACAGCCATTTCCTCATTCCAGAGTTTCTTTCCTCCTTTTTCTTTTCAAAGGCTTAAAGTGTTTTAATTACTTATTTTTAAACTATTATAAGCAATTCATTGCTTTCCTTCTGTAGTTTTAAGTTCTCTAACCAAAGGAGGAAAGTAGTTGGGTAAAATGAATTCATACCACAATAACAGAATCTCAAGATTTGAAACAAAACAAAACAAAAAAACCTTTCTAGAGATCTTTGTACTAATACTGGGAAAGAACTGTGTTTAATTTAAGGAATTTTCAGACACCTGAGGGTCAGAGTGGCAGAGAGAGAGGTAGGCACTTAAACAAAAGGTTAACTGAGTGAATGAAATTGTGCAGCAGCTGCCAATAGTATAGAACTGACCATGTTAGATTCCAAATCTGTGTCTGCAGTCCTAACAAAAGATTATTGTGAAATAGGGTGAATTACAACCTTGTTGCATTTCATTTTATTTTGGGTACTTTCTAGAGAAATTTACACCATCTCTAAGACTGCATGCTCCATGATTTGTTTTCTAGCAGTGTTTTTATATGAAACATCCTAGCAGTCTTCTATTACCTTTTTATATTTGGGTTTTGTTATTGTTGTTGTTTTCTTTTGCATGTAAGACTTTGTAGAGCTTAACATTATGCTGAAAGTCAACAATCTGATCTCTGGGGCTTGCATCATCTTTGAAGAGATGAAAACATACTTACATACTAAAAATGACAAGTTGCAAAGTGTGACTTCTGTCCAAGTAGGAAGGATTCTCCTGTAGTCATGGGGCATCAGAAAGATGCCTGAACTTCTGTCATGTTGTTTCAGGCTAATCTAAAGGAGAAAAGTCCCTCAATAAAACTCATGTCTCTTTCCTAGCTTTTTCAAATAGCTATAGTCAATTCTTGACTTTTCATCTGGAGTGCATATATGAGTAGGATAATACCTACAAGGAAAAGAGCTTTGGATTTGTTGACCTGAAACAATATTTTTACCTAGCATACTGCCCCCTTCTACCTCCTCCAGATCCCCCAGATCTCTTCCAAAGCTCTCTGGTGAGTTCTGTCCCCAGAAATCTGACTTCTTTTGATTTCATCATAGGGAATCCTTCCTCTTTTGCTTCTGGTTTATCTTAACCATCAGGAATCATTGACAGGTGATTAGAAAGTGACGAGAAAGAAGGATGGGACTGTTTCTTCTCTGGATTTATCCATATCTGGCCACAATTCTGGCAGTTTCTATGTTCACTTTTCAAGGCCACAACTCCGTCACACAGCCCCTTTTTCATAGTAACAGCTCTCACCAGATGCTGGGAATATTGTTCTCTCTTCTTTAGTCCTTGCGGTGAAGTCCTACTTCCTGCTGGTAGTCCCTGAGTATTTTACCATCTCTTGATAGTCCCCTTACTGTTGTCCTTCAATCAATTATTTTCAGTCAAACTCTTTAGATATGATGTCTGTTTCCTGCCAGGACCCCAAAGGAGACATCTAGGTTCTTGGAAAAACCTGATAATCTCTCTGACCTTTTCTTTTCTTCAACTATAAAACTATTTAATAACTTTATTGTCTACCATGAAGAGTTATAAGGAGGACCAGTAAGCCATTTTAATTTTTAAATGTCATAAAAATGCAAACAAAGAATAGTAAATTATCTGCTAATATTGAATCTCAAACTAGTTTTCCTCAGATATTCGATATGTGTTTCATATCACTCTCCTCCCATGATGAATTGATATAAGCTTTGGGAGCACCAGCTTGAGTTGACTAAACACAAACAGAAGCAGGAAAGGGAACCCTGTATTTCATGCATTCCCAAGATAAATATAAACCATCCTTAGGTTTACTCTATGTCTGTCACATCATAAGTATGTAATTCAAATTGGAGAACCCAATATACATACCTTTGTATTGTACAATATACCTTTGTTCCTGCCTTTCATTTTTACTCCTTCTTAGTGCATCTTGTGAATCACTCACATCTCTGTGAGATTGTAAAGCTTCTTTGTAATGGTCCTTAAAACAAGGATAATGCCTTATATATTTTTTCATTTTATGACTTATAGTGACTCACCTACTATCAAGCATATATTTGACAGAGTAGACACTTAGAGAGTGAGCAGCTAGGTATTCAGTCCACATTTGTTGATGCTGAGACTCTCCAAGGCTGATAATGGACATTCATTGATTTTATACATGAGTATTCTCTCCTTGATTAGCATGACCCTGTCTTTGCATGCTTGGAGAGTATTTGTTTAACAAATGAAGACTTTATGGACATCTGTTGTGTTTTACTTGTGTATTTTATTGTGACTTGGCATGTGAGGGACTTAGAATTCAGGAGGAGAGAGCCTTCCTCCCTGTTCCCATCTTACGAGGCTGGAGCCTAGTGAAATGATCTTATAAACAATATAAACAGTGATGACGCAAATAACTAGTACTTTGCATCCAGTCTCCCAAAACATGATGAATAAAAGTAGTGTTATTCCTGAGGACCAGGTAAATCCCAAATCAAATGCTCAGGGGAAACATTTGAATTTTCAAGATAATAGGCTTAGGAATTGTGACTGCAGATTTACCCTCTGAACTACCTCTAGAAAGTGCACGTAGACAATGGTACAAGAGGCATTTGGCTCACTAATCCTTCCTTGCTTTGTTTTCCTACTTCTGGTAGGCACAGTGCACTCCAGAGAACCCTCACTATTTTTTGTTCCCACATTTTCACTCCTTCTAAAATAAAGGAGAGAAAAATAACTTAGGTAACCAGGGACTGTTAAAGGCTCTTGGTTTACCCAGACAGATTCTACAAATTTCCCTCAGGGAGAGGCTGTATAAAAACAAATTCAACAGCCTAGTTGCAGGGACAGTATAAAAAAAGTCCCTTAGTTTGCTGAAGTCAGCAAGGTAAGTAAAGAACGTAAAGAAATGTTTAGATCCTAAAATATATTTGGTAAATTGAATAAGTGGCCAGAAATGGAAGATAGTAGGGATATATGTGGGTATGCATGGTATAAAGATAGAAGAATGTAACAGCAAGGTCAGAGTGGAGTAGCACTGACTGAGAGTAACTGCAGGGAGTATGGGAAGCTCCAAGAGGAAAGAGAATGATTCAGCTTGTTTAATTTCTAAGTTGTTTAAAACATACAATAATGCTAGAGAACGGAGAAATGAAAATCAAAGAACCATCAGGGATCATTCCTTGGATAAAATGGGCCTAAAACTCACCTATGATGGACTGTGTTGGTAGAAGGCAAAACAGTAGGGTGCTGAAGTGTTACACATCATCTCGTGGGAGGATTTATAGATTTAAGTGAAGCAAACTGCTCTGATAGAATTCCCAGTAAAAATCATGAAGATGATATAAGAAAGTCGCTTTCTTCCCATCCCCTCCTAATACACAGACCCTGGGCAGAGAGTCAGTTTTGATAGTCAGCAGTGATAAGGCAAGGAAAGTAGCCATTCTAGGTTTTGTGCATGGAGGGGATTGGAGTGTCTTAGCTTTGGCCACCATAACAATACCATAGACTGGGTGACTAAAACAACAGTCCTGAAGCGTGGGAAGTCCAGGATTAAAGTTCTAGCAAGCAAGTTTCTTTCTGAAGCCTCTTTTTTGGCTTGTAGGTGACTGTCATCTTGCTGTGTGTTTATATGACCTTTTGCATATGCTCAGAGAGGAAGAAAGCTAGATTTCTTCCTCTTATATAAGGGCACTAATCCCCTCATGGAGTTCTCATCTTCACAACCTGATCAAACCTAATCATTTCTCAAAGGTCTCATCCTGTTACCATCATATTGAGTGTTAGAGGCGCAATATATATATATATTTTACAAGCATGAACATTCAGCCCATAACCAAGGCTAAGTCCCTTCTATATAAGGGAATTAATGATTCTTTTGGAAGCATTAGGAGACACTTTCATGTGTGAAAAGGTAAAGGTAGATAAACAACAAGAAAGTGGACCCAGAAAAATATATGGGAAGTTGTGACAGATCTAGAATATAACTGACTTGCCATAGGAACTGATTAACTAAAAACTACCGAATCAGACAAAAGAATCAGAAAGTGCAAAATAAATGTGGGATCTGATTTCTCCATCTAGAATTAAGACAGAATTAATTCCAAAGAAGGAAGAGATTCTAAACTTACTTCAAAATGTTTTCCTTGCTGGTAAATGGCACATTAGGGTTACACTGGAAATAGTCTTTGACATATAAGGACAAGAATTAAAAGCAAAGAGACAGCTGCAGAGTGAGTAGAAAGTGACTCAAACACAAAAAGGACAGAGGTAAAGACCTGGAAAACTGAAAGTAGGTGACTATGCTGTAATTAGTGGAAATGAGGAAAATGGTGAAAGTTTAATATTCTAGCATGATATTAGAAGAAGGATGTCCTAACCAATTGGACAAAGTGTCTTCAGCAAGACATATCATAAATGACCAGTGAGGTATACTAGGAACATATGGTGACATAGATCAAAGTGTGACACAAGTAAAGACAGCATAATGATCCTACAGCATATCACTTTTTTGTTTTGCTTTGTTTTTGTTTTGTTTTGTTTGAGACAGGGTCCTATTCTGTTGCCCACACTGGTCTCATCTGGGGCTCAATCAACTCTCCTGAGACAGCCTCTGGAGCAGTTAGGACTATTTGCTATCATGCTAAACTTGAGTCTATCACGTTTTTGACACAGTCTCATGGTAGACAGGAGTAGTCCCTTCATTTAATACCATTAAAACTCTATTACTTTTTACTATCCATCATTTTTTAAAAGAAAGTTCTTGAGAAGAAATGGCCAATAGAAGGGCAGCTGAATTGCAGGGGCCTAATACAGGAAGAAAAAATTAAAATATTTGATGGATGATGTGGGCCAATTCCTCTTACAGTATGATGCCCTTGAATATTAAATGAACATATAGGGCACTCCAGAGCAGGTAATCTGGCATGCATATTCTGGGTTTGCCCAAATGTGTATTATTATAATAGTAAGAATAATTTATTGTAAAATCACTTATTTGAAAAATGCAGTGATAAAAGAATGTAAAACTCTATAAATTTAAGACAATGTGAGCTATAAAGTTTAAGTTTGTATTCCCACTCCTGCCTTTAAATATGTCATATTTATTGGGATAAATTCCACGGATAGTTTTTCAAGTCCTTATAAAACATAGCCAAACTGTATGTTATTGTTGGACCCATGGAATCCACGTGACACTGTAACCTTATTCTGAATGAATAAGACCTGGATAAATTATGGTGGTTTGAGTAAATGGAAGGCATACAGTACAGACAGCCTCTATGTGTGTATGTGTGTGTACATGCTTCTTTTTCCTCTTGAATTTTAATCCATTTCTCCTACTTTTTGCTTCACCACTTTTTTCTCATCTGTCTCTGTTTGTTTGTCCATAGTACCTGAATCACAGTCCCCCTCGGTGACTATAGAACCCTAAGTCTTATCTCTGGACCAGCTGATGTGACCCTAAGTCTTAACTCTGGACCAGAATTTAAATACTACCAGCCAAAGACTGACAAACAGTCCCAGAATGTACTGTGCCTGCCAGGGTCTGTTACTTGAGGATAGATGGATTTGGTTCTTATGTGATCATTCTCTATTGGCAGGCACAATTGTCATGAGGCAGAGTGCTAAGAAACAAACAAGGCATTTACTTATTTTCAAGTCAGAAATTCGAGAGCTCTTGTATCTAGAGTGATTTGTTTTTTAATTAAACATAAAACTATTATTAGAAATGTACATTTGAGTTTTATAAGTGCCCTTGGCTAAAACTTTTGGCTACCCCATCAAAGAAGGATTAATGAAAAATTTACAAATAGAT